AGCCACCAGGAAGCAGTTACTTTTCTGTAATTTAAGTTCTGTTATGAAAGTAAACCTCTCATACTGTGGGACAGAGTATGGTGTGTGCAGTACTTAATACAGTTTGAGTTTGGGAAGGAGAGAAGACTTATCAGAGGACAATAGATAAGAGTTAGGATCCTGACTAACAATATATGGAATAGCAGAAAGGCCTAAGAGATCATAACACATTTGGTGTGCATGTAGTTCAGATTAGCTATACCATAGTGACTGAGTTAAAGAACGGCAAAGAATGACACCAAAGAAGCAGAGAAGGGCTACATGCTAAGGAAATGTCTGAGTCTTGCAAAAAAGGAAGCATGAAGGATATGAAATTCAGTATAAGGTTTCACATAAGGAACTATCATGACCTCATTCATGCAGATGGACCATGCTAACAGTTATGTGGATAATAAGTTGGAATTGGCTGAGACTAATGGCAATCCCAAAGAATGCTCAAACTACTGCACAATTACACTCATCTCACATGCTACTAAAGTAATGCTCAAAATTCTCCAAGCCAGGCTTCAGCAATCCGTGAACCGAGAACTTCCAGATGTTCAAGCTGGTTTTGGAAAAGGCAGAGGAACCAGAGATCAAATTGCCAATATCTGCTGGATCATTAAAAAAGCAAGAGAGTTCGAGAAAAACATCTATTTCTGCTTTATTGACTACGCCAAAGCCTTCGACTGTGTGTATCACAACAAACTGTGGAAAATTCTGAAAGAGATGGGAATACCAGACCACCTGACCTGCCTGTTCAGAAACCTATATGCACCCGTCAGAAAGCAACAGTTAGAACTGGACATGGAACAACAGACTGGTTCCAAATAGGAAAAGGAGTATGTCAAGNGATGCTGGGAGGGATTGGGGGCAGGAGGAGAAGGGGACGACAGAGGATGAGATGGCTGGATGGCATCACCGACTCGATGGGCATGAGTTTGAGTAAACTCCAGGAGTTTGTGATGGACAGGGAGGCCTGGCGTGCTGCGATTCATGGGGTCGCAAAGAGTCGGACACGAATGAGTGACTGAAATGAACTGAATTGAACTGAATGACAGGAAGGAAGACCAGCTAGCAGAATGTTACAGTAATCTAGGCTGTATAGTATTTGAATCTGAGTAGTCCAAGGAGAAAAGAGGACTTAGTTTGAGAGATGTTTAGGAGATAGAATTTATATTGCTTCTTGGCCTTTTGGCTAAGATCAAGTGTGGAATGTATAAGACTTGGTGATGGGATAAAGTAATTTTAGATCTCAAGTTCTGTATACCTGGGGGTTCATCTAAACAGTATCTTTGTCTGGGTACTTTGAAGAGATACTCCTTCCTAGTCTACTGTATAAATTACCAGTATCCATCTCCCTCCTCATCACCAACAGCCTCTTGGCCAAAAAAGCCTCTGTTGCCAAAGGAACTTGCCGAGGAGGTTCTGCCTTATTATCAGAGCCCGCTTCTAGCAGATAAGAGCTCCTGCTCACATAGCCAAACTTGAGAGAGATATACTCCGAAAATGAAAATTAGAACTTTTCTTTCTTTGAAATAATGTTGAAAGATAGGTACTTAGATATATCATGTGTTAAATGTCCCTTTTATGGTCTACTCTAGGAACATGAAACTGTTTATGCCACTTTGGTAACAAGTTATAAACATCCTTCTCTTTTAAAAAAACTTCAAATTCGGTTGAAGTCTTCTTATACATACTGATGAATAACGGAGTAGGGAATGGTTCGCCTCAGCAAGAGGTAATATTTTATTGCTGACATTCTTGCGAACTGCTATCACATAATGACAACGGTAATAAAAAAGTAGACCTATTTTTAGTTGATTTTATTATTGTCTTTAAATTTTTCTTGCAGCTAATGCATCCCATATTGCATGCTCCCAGAGCTGATAGTTTCCTCTCTCCCCTCTGCCCCAGTTAGTTCACCACTGCCTACCTCGGGTTAGAAGTTGTGAAATGGAAATCAGATACATTTTGAGACAGGGAAAATTTCTGAAGGAAAGAAACTTGGGCATAAATTTATGTTCTCCATTTCACCAATGAAATGATCTGAGCTGATAACAACTTCTCTGAGCTTCAGTTTTCCCATTATTAAGATGGGGCTAAAATACCTATTTTGTTGTGGATTAAATAATGTAAACTTTCTGTGCTCAGTCGTGTCTGACTCTTTGTAACCCTGTGGACTGTACTCCACCAGACTCCTCTTTCCATGGGATTTTCCCAGCAAGAATACTGGAGTAGATTTCCATTTCCTCCTTCTCGGGATCTTCCCAACCCAGGGATCAAACCTGGGTCTCCTGTATTGCAGGCAGGTTCTTTATAGCTGAGCCACCGGGGCAATAATGTATGTAAAGTATCTGACACTTAGCAAATATTCTCAACAAATATTAATTCTCTCCTATTTTTATATTTTATAGCTTCCCAAGATATTTTGAATATATTTTTTTATGTTTAAGGAATTTCCAATCTTAAAGTGCTGCTTCCCCAAGGGAAGCTCTGAAAATGAAATTTCCAGACTCTCGTAGTAAAGCGACAGACATGTGACCTAGGCTTCAACATTCAGCACACCTACATAGACTTTGATTTGGAATCTAGTAGCTTTGAGGAAGCCAAGATTCTGCTTGGAAGTCAATTTGCTGATAAAGGCATCTGACATTTGTGGGTGGCAGTGCTTGTTAGGTTAAGTTCCTAGGGCAGAAGTCGCTTTGGCGGGAGTGGGAGTGGCAGCAGTGGCTTTCAGTGTTTGTGCAGCAGAAGTCTGTAGTGCTCTGACTTCCTCACTGGGCCAGTTAAGCTTCCTTTCTGCTCATTCAGTAAGAATTAGCATATATTACTTGCCACCGTGAGCCTTAACTGATATATATTTCATCATTAGTATTGCTTCCTTTGAGTAGCAGGCTAAGCAGAATGTCAAAGTAGAGGCAGTCATGTAAACATGGCAACCCACTCCAGTATTCTTGCCTGGAAAATCCCACGGACAGAGGAGCCTGGTAGGCTATACTCCATGCGGTCACAAAGAGTCGGACACAACTGAGCGACTTCTCTCTCTCTCTCTAAATAAAAGTACATAGTTCTGGAAAGTATATCCCAGAAAAGTTTGGTGAGCTATAACTGGAGATTGAGGAATATAGCTTTTGAGGAAATTACATATATTAGAATACTTTTGTCAAATGTTTTTCCCTGTAGCTCTTGGAAATAGTTAAGAGAACTTAGGCTTTTTAGTCCCCCAAAGAAATTCTTTCAGAACCAGTTTATAAAGAAAATTTAATCCCTGGATATTGATTCTGCAAAGCAGTCTCAGGTGAGTTCATCAATTCGTGTCAAAGCCAGAATCAAAATAAATCAGGCATTATATGGCATATTAAATTTCTGGAGCTCAACTTATTTCCCTTAATCTCTTAGCAGCAGTAACAGAGTGGCAGCTCTCACTCATTGCAGTGGGGAAGTAACAAAGCAAGAGTAAAATTGCTGTTGCAAAATGAAGCACATCAACGCATTTCCATCTAATGCATTATGGTTCATGAATCTCCCAGGAGCCAGAAAAACACAGTGAAGTCTTTAAAAGTGAATCCAGATGTCAGTCATCACCACAGCAGTGCTTTAATTATCAAAAAACAAAGAAATAACTCCTTAGGTACATTCTAAGCAGGTGTTCCTTTTCAGAAAACAGAGTAACTGAAGAAACAGCTGTGGCATTCTATCTGCTTCAAGAGGAAAGAGAACTGCAACCTAAATAACAGCGACTTCTCTGATGGAGCAGAGATAAATCACAATTGTCAGAATTTTGCAAGTATTAACATTATAACATGGTGACTAATTAATATTAATTACTCTGTTTTCCAGATGAGAAAACTGAGTGCCTTATATGACAAACATTTCAAATTCAGTCTGTCAGTCTTCGACAAGTTTACCACAAAATGAATTGATTTTGCAAGATCTTTTAACTATCATATAACATAAAGTGATTTTCTAGAAAACATTTGTGTGTTTTACACAAATAATCCATTTTCATTTTAGAAAATATAAAGGTGAACAAAAAGGAAACTTTTAAACTATCTCTAATAACTGCTATTTCAACCTGGGATTTTAAAGCTGGGCCCATGGTTAGACTTCAGGGGATCTGTGAATCTCTGAAACAAAGCAAAAAAAAAAAAGACCACGTGCATTTTTTTGGGGTGAGGGTATATATACCTTCATCAGTTTCTCAAATTGTCTGTCATTCAATAATTATGAACTACCTCCATCCTTCTGGATGTTGTGACTGGAGGAACAGAGATGGTGCCCACAAGTCACAGCCTGAGAAGGAAGGTGGCCTTTATCTAAAATTTTATGTTGGCCAAAACAAGTAGTAATTTCTAAAATTTGACTTGGCTTTTGTGCAGTAAATTGTGGAAAGTTAGGAATATTTCCTTTTCTCCTTAAGGATTTTATTTATTTATTGACTTATAAGTCGATATACAATGTTGTATTAGTTTCTGGCATACATCAAAGTGATTCAGATGTATGTATATTTATATATATATAGTATATACACTCTTTTTCATATTCTTTTCCATTATAGTTTATTTGAAGGTATTGAATATAGTTCCTTGCGCTATACAGCAGGTCCTTGTTGCTTACATATTTTATATATAGTAGTGTGTATATGTTAATTCCAAACTCCTAGTTTATCTCCCCCTCCCCATCTCCTTTAGTAAAAATAAGTTTGCTTTCTATGTCTGTGATTCTGTTTCTGTTTTGTAAATAAATTCATTTGTATCATTGTTTTATATTACACGTATGATTGACATTTTATGATATTTATCTTTCTCTGTTTGACTTATTTCACTTATGGTCATGTTTAGGTCCATCCATGTTGCTGCAAATGGCATTATTTCATTCTTTTTTATGGCTGAATAATTTTCAACTGTATATACCACGTCTTTATCCATTCATTTGTTGATGGACATTCAGATTGCTTCTGTCTTGGCTATTGTAAACAGTGCTGCAGTGAACACTGGAGTGAACATTGGAACATTGGAGTATCCCAATGCACTGATCCACATAGCAGTTTGGAATCTCTTATCTGGTCTTCCTGTGAGTGTAAATATATACTATATAGTTAGGTAAGTCAATTGTAATCATAGAGTAAATCAAACTCACAGTAATAATGTTAGGAATCAAGTTTTTAGTTATTACTATTGTATTACTTTAATTATTTGAAAAAGTAAAGAGAATTTAATATATTAGCTTGTAATTTAAATCAGAAAAGAAAGTTTGATGTTAGACCTAAGGTGTTAATTTGAACTGTAGAAAGAATAAGAATTGTGGTTAAATGTTTGAGAGCCCTAATTTAACACATGTATGAGTTCAATTCATTAGATTTTTTTATACTGATATATTTATTTTTATTGAAGTATAGTTGATTTACAATGTTCTGTTAGTTTCAGGTGTTCAGCAAAGTGATTCATATAATATATATATATATATATATATTTTTTTTTTTTTTTTCAGATTCTTTTCCCATGTAGGTTATCACAAAATATTGAATGTAGTTCCCTGGGCTATAGAGTCTGTCTTGTTATTAATTCATTAGATTTTTAATAGTTATAAATCTTAGGTTTTGCCTGTTGAATTGTTTGTCTGCCTTGTCAGTTGGGTAAAGTAGCTTAGAAATCAGATATCTTAAATGTGTCAATATGGTTTAAAAGACTTAATTTTTTTTGTAAGTGCGGAGTTATCTTTTTAAGGAATCTTAATCTGTTGAACTTATGATTTATTTGAACATTCAGCAAAGAATGAATAAAAGTGATTTATAATGTATTTTTATGTCCCACAGTATTGATAATGATGAAAAAGTCTGACCATATCAAGTATTGGAAAGATGAAGATCTCTTTGCTTGAGGGAATGCAAAGTGATGGAATCCTTTGAGACACAGTTTGACAGACCTCACAACTCAATGATTCTATTCCTAGGTATTTATCCTAGAAAGGTTCTTACATGTATACACTAAGAGATACGTTTCAAGAATGTTCATAGCAGCCTTGGTCATAATAGCAAAATAAAACAAGAAAAACTGAAAACAACCCAATGTCCATTGACAGCAAATGGATATGTAAATTATTGGTTTTTCAAATTATGAAATATTATACAGCAGTGAAAATGAGGGGGAATAACTAAAATAAATCTCAGAAATATAGTGTTGAGTAAAAAAGCAAATCATACTAACACAATTCTATAAATCAATTATTCTTCAATTAAAAATAAAATAATTGAAATAAAAAAAGCAAATCACAGACAAAGCATGCTGTCATCTATGTTCAAAAAGATATAAAACTAAACAATATGATTTCAGCATATACACACTCATTTGTAGATAAAACTATTATGGAAAGTGAGGGGATTATAAACACAACATAGGTAGTTGTTTCTGGAAGAGATGGTAGGGGAAGAGTATTTGATCAGGGAGGGGTTCAAAAAGCTTCAAGGGTGATAATCTTTTCATTGAGCTGGGTTGTGGCACCATGGATATGTTTTTTATTATTATTTGAGCCATGTATATTATTTTATGTCTCATTGCATGTGTGTATACACACATAAATGCATACATTCTTTTATGAGATAATTTATAATTTTAAAAAATCCGCAGATTAAAATAAAGTGAATTTATTAGATTTCTAAGTTGTGTTTCAAGTCTTAAGAAAAACTAGTTTTATTCTTATGACTTGAATACACTGGATGCAGTACAACAGTTGTTAACTACTGCCTTCCTTTTCAACCATCAAACCCAATGTTTGATGTTTGATGTTGATGTTTGATGTTTGATGTTCCTTTAGAACATTTCAAAATGCAGCTGGTACAGTAGATAACCTCTCTTTCTGGCTGCCCTTTCTCCCCTCTCCAGTGGCATTCCTAACGTCATATCTTGATGAATCTTGGCTTTTACCAAAGATGGCAAGAGCAACTTTTGGTTTTAAACTAAACCAGTTACAAAACTCCCCTGACAAAGGGAATCTAGAGCATAGCTGTCTGCTTGAAATGGAGGGGGAGAATAATATAGGGAAATATGAAGAGGACAAGCACAAACTAACAACTCAAATTACCTTGTTATAGATGCTCTATTACACTTTTATATAATTTGTCTTTCCATATTCAATGTTTTTCAGAATATTTAACCAAACAGATTCCTTCCCATCAGTTTATTATAAATAATATTCATTTAAAAACTATATCCTATTTAAACAGCCTTAATAGCCAGAAGTTTTTTTTCCTCCCAAATACTTTTTAAAGTTTGTTTCCAATTGGTCTATCCCTGAAATTCAGTCTTCCATCCTGGCATCTGAGTCGATGAAAAAGCCTTAAATCATCCCTAGTGACTTCATAATCAAATTTCCTTCAATGAAATCCTTGTGTGGGTATTTGCTGGCTTAAAAGAAAAATCTCCCAGCTACAAATTGGCCTTTAGGTTATGGGTTCTGTGCTCTTCCCTTCAGAAATTCTGCTTAGTTCTTTCCTTTCAGCAGAATTCTCTTTCTCATGGATCTTTAGGGAACAATTAGGCAAGATATGAATTCCAGAACCACTTTGCCTGCCTTTTCTTGCATTGGACCTTCAGTTTTCCTCCCCTGTGTATTCATTCCTTTTCTCTCTGTACCTTTTGTCACTTTTCCTCTCAACTCCTTCCCTTTTCTGAGAGTGTAACTATTCATTTCCCAATTCCCTAAAGGAACATACAAGACTTCCATCTTTGTTGCTGATTTGCCCCGTGTTTCTGCTGCTTGTCTCCAGGCCCTTTCAGTTTGTTTCTTCATCTCCCGCCCCCTTCCAAACATAATTTTATGCCCTTTACCGAACACATTTTCTTCTGGCTTTATTCCTTTTTAAACTTTAATTGTCCTTTTCTTAGTCACTATTTACAAAGGCGTCACCTGGGATAAAAGCGATAGATTTGATCTCAAAATTCTCATTTAGTGTTTTGTCATGAAGAAGTAGTTATTATCCACATTTTACAAATGGCTAGAAGCAGGAGAGAAAGGAAAATATCTTGCCTTAAGCCATGTGTTAAGTCCGGTAGAAAGCCAAACCAGATTAGAGACCAATTGTCCCCACATCTACCACCGCCTGCTGCCCTTATCACCTGAACCTTTCTGTTTTTTTCAAGAGAGGACCTAAGAACCATCTGCACGCTTGTTGCTTTTCTTCTCCAAACTGAGGATTCACAGATTGAGGAGACATAGCCCAGGAATCTCCATTTTAACAACTCCCAAGATCCTTCTTAGGCAAGGTAAAATGCTTCCTAAAAATAGTGAGGGAATTAATCATTTTTGTGCACATACTATGTGTCTGATGCTATGCTCTAATTTTATATACACATGCCATTAGTTGATTGACTCCTATAAAAACCTTTGAGGTAGGTTTTCTAATATCTACTTTATAGGAGAGAAACTGAGATTTGAATTAGAAAACTGCCCAAGGCTACTTAGCTGGTAACTGGAAGAGGCAGTCTAGAAGAGTCCACATCTGACTTCATTACCCTGGATTTCAGGAACTACGACATGACACATGTTTTAAATTTAGCATAAATAGCTATTAGATATAATAAATGTTACCATATGTATATAGGATTATATTAATCTCATAGTATGCAGCAAACAATAAAACAGACAAATTGATTAAACACATTCAAATTTGTTTTTTCATTAAGACACAATTGATATATAACTTTATTAGTCTCAGGTATACAACGTAATGATTCAATATTTGTGTGTGCTCGGTCGCTCAGTCGTGTCTGACTCTGTGACCCCATGGACTAACCTGCCAAGCTCCTCTGTCCATGGGGATTCTCCAGGCAAGAACACTGGAGTGGGTTGCCATGCCCTCCTCCAGGGTATCTTCCCAACCCAGGGATCGAACCCAGGTCTCCTGCATTGCAGGCAGATTGCTCACTGTCTGAGCCACCAGGAAAGAAATTTGCATATATTATAAAATGACCACCACAATAAGTTTAGTTAACATCTATCACCACATAGTTAAAAATTTTTTTTTCTCATAATGAAAACTTTAAAGATCTACTCTCTTAGCAACTTTCAGATATACATTACAGTATTCTTAACTATAGTCACCATGCTAGATATTACATTCCCAGGACTTATTTACCTTATCATGAGAATTTTGTACCTTTTGACCACTTTCACCCATTTCACCCATCCACATCCCCCCCCCACCTCTGGCAACCACCAATCTGTTCCCTGTATCTATGAGTTTAACATTTTTTTTTAGATTCTACATACAAGTGAGATATTAGTTTTTCTCTGTCTGACTTACTTCACTTAGCATAATGACCTCAAGGTTCATTCATGTTGCTATAAATGGCAGACTTTCTTTTTTATGGTTGAATAATATTCATACATATATATTTGTATAATAGAATATTACATATACTGCATTTTTTATGTATGCATCTATCAATGAATATTTAGGTTGCTTCCATATATCTTGGCTGCTGTAAATAATGCTGCAATGAATATGGAGGTGTGTGTATCTTTCTTGAGTTAGTGCTTTCATTTCCTTCAGGTAAATACACAGAAGTGGAGTTGCTAGATCATGTGGTAGTTCTGTTTTTAGTGTTTTGAGGCACCGCTATACTGCTTTCCACAATGGCTGCACTAATTGACATTCCTACCAGCAGTACACAAGGGTTCCCTTTTCTCCATATCCTCCCCAACACTTATTATTTCTTATCTTTTTGATAATAGTCATTCTAACAAGTGTGATATCTCATTGTGGTTTTCATTTCCATTTCCCTGATCGTTAGTCACGTTAAGCATGTTTTTTGTGTTCCAGTTGGCCATCTGTTTGTCTTCTTTGGAAAAATGTCTATTCAGATCCACTTTTCAAATGAATTTATTTGCTATTGAGTTTAGTGAGTTCTTTATATATTTTGTCTTTCGAGCCCTCATCAGAAAAAATGTTTTGCAAATATTTTCTCCCACACAGTAGGTTGCCTTTTGATTTTGTTGATGATGTCCTTTGCTGAGCAGAAGCTTTTTAGTTTGATATAGTCCCACTTATTTGTATTTGCTTTTGTTGCCTTTGCTATTACTGTCAAATCCAAGCAAAATATCATAAAGACTGATGTAAAGAACTTACTGCCTGTGTTTTCTTTAGGAGCTTTTTATGGTTCAGGTCTTGTGTTCAAGTCTTTAATACATTTTGAGTTGGTTTTTGTGTAAGGTATAAGATAGTGGTCCACTTTCATTCTTTTGCATGTGACTATTCAGTTTTCCCAACATCATTTGTTGAAAAGACCATTATTATTTCCCCATTGTATATTCTTGGCTTCTTCATCGTTAATTAACTGATGCATGGGTTTATTTCTGAGCTTGTTGTTCTGTTCCATTGATCTATGTGTCTGTTTTTTTTGTTTTTGTTTTTTTTTTAGTTTTCTTTCCATTTATTTTTATTAGTTGGAGGCAAATTACTTTACAATATTGTAGTGGTTTTTGCCATACTTTGACATGAATCAGCCATGGATTTACATGTGTTCCCCATTCTGAACTATGTGTCTGCTTTTATGCCAATATCATATTGTTTTTATTACTATAGCTTTGTAATATAGTTTGAAATAAGGACACATGATGCCTCCAACTTCGTTCTTCTTTCTCAAGACTGCTTTGCTGTGAGTCATTATTTTATTAGTCACGTTAAGCATGTTTTTTGTGTTCCAGTTGGCCATCTGTTTGTCTTCTTTGGAAAAATGTCTATTCAGATCCACTTTTCAAATGAATTTATTTGCTATTGAGTTTAGTGAGTTCTTTATATATTTTGTCTTTCGAGCCCTCATCAGAAAAAATGTTTTGCAAATATTTTCTCCCACACAGTAGGTTGCCTTTTGATTTTGTTGATGATGTCCTTTGCTGAGCAGAAGCTTTTTAGTTTGATATAGTCCCACTTATTTGTATTTGCTTTTGTTGCC